TACTGGCAGATTCAGGCTGACGCTGTTTCCGAGTGAAAAGATGCTAAGCCTTCGTGCGTCATTTGACGGAGATCATCAGAGCGAGGAAATATCGTCACAACCAAATTCAAGCTGACGAGTCAAGAAAACTCACTTTCACTAGAAATTGAAGTAGGCTCAACATCTTCCACATCTTCGGTCATTGGCCGCCGGCTTGCTGGCCAGAGAAGAGCACTTATTTTCTTTTATAATTAGATTTTTTGAGGCAACCAGTTGATCATTGATGTACTAAGTTTATTTACCCCATTTCATTTAACGTGACGAAGGACTGGTAGCAGAATTTTCCCACAATGCTGTGAGTAGAGCTGACTTTTCCCCTGAATTTCACGTAGCCTTGCTTTCCCAAACGTAGTTCTCACCCATGCTGACGTTGACTGCAGTTTCAACCTCGCCTCGGTATTATCAACTCCTCCGGATGGACTCAAACCATGACAGTGTAGTGTATAATCTCGACACGTTAATCATTACATTATATTGCCATGAATGTCATTGTATCACGGGGCAGATGTGAATTTCAACGAAGGCCAGGCATTTTCCTTTATCATTTTTCTAATGGTACTACTACTACTAGTAGTAGTAGTAGTAGTATCGGCAAAAATGTTAAGATTATACACTGCACTGTCATGGTTCTAGTCGCGTTAGGTTGCTGAAAGTGTAGCCCACTCTTGCCGGGATGAGAATGTCTTTTGTGAAAGCAGGGCTGTGTGAAATGCGATGCAAGCGAAAGGTCTACGTGTGTGATTATGGGCAAAATTCAATGATCGCTCGCCTCAGCTTGTTAGACGAGAGATAAAGTGGATAAACTTGATGTAGAAGAGCAATTGTGTCCGCCTTGAGGACAGCACTTCTGACTGACCCTTCAACGCGGAACCCTTTTTGCTCCACTTGCCTCCACCCAAACCGCTGTCCGGTACAGCCCTCTTCACTCCTTCAAATGGGCCCTTTCGCGCCCAGCCTCGCATTGGCCGGCTCTCGGCTGTCCGCCCTTCCGACCGGACTCGTAGCTGGACCCACGCGTCTGCAAGCGATGGACGAAACGGAGGACACTTTGTCGGATCCGACCAATCCAGACTGCCCGTTTGCTCGACTCCTGCCAGCGGGTGGCGCCAGTGCCCTCGTGCGGCTCAGCCGCTTGCCGGCAGAGACGAAGCGCAAGGAACTGCACGCATTCCTCGGCTCAGACGACATGGCCAAAATATACCGAATGAAGCGAATGGTAAGCAATTACTTTCTAACAAAAAAGCAGACAGCCAATGCATAATTAACTGAGTCATTTAGTCATTCAATTACAAAGTCAGTCACTCAGTCACTCAATCAGTTAAGTAATCAGTCATGCATTCACATATTCAGCAAATGTATCAAACACTCATTAACTTAGTCACTTAGTCAATCAGTTAGCAAGTCAATCATCCATTCAATCACAATGTGAATTACTCATTGAATCGATAACTAATGCCTTTATTTACTCAATCAGTCAACTACTCACTATGTCAGTTAATCGATCACGCCCTCCCTTATTCATTACATTTCTCAATCACTCATTAACTTTGTCACATTTTCATTCAGTTACTAAGTCAGTCAGCTAACCAATCCCAATCTCAGTAACTCAGTCACTCAATCAC